CGCGCGGTTTCACCCGCTGCTCAGTTCCATTTCATCGTAGCGTGATGTTTTATAACATATAACATTCAGGAACATTGTAGCTATCTATCAGTGAAAGAATTTTGGGAAACCGACCAGCGGTTCCAAAGATTACCCCCTACATACAAACTTACAAACCAAACATACAAATTTTACCTCTTTATAATATTAGTATAGATGGACAAATAATTTACAAGAAAATAATACTGAGACTACAAATTGAGATGTAAGCTATCCTGCCTTTCAAGTTGGATCAAAATGCACACGAAATGCAAATCATATTTAAAATCTGTTTAGTAGTTTAGGAGTCCACTGCGGACAAACACGTGACACGAAATTTTTATATTTCTATGTAATAAGGGTCAAAATTAAACTTTTTGTAATTATTTAATATAAGTAAGTAAAATCTTTGCTTGATATAAAAAAACCTAAGATTGAGATTGTCCGATTCTTACTGACTAAAAAACGCTCTGTCTTTTCCCCTTCTTCAGGCCGAGGTCGTGGCACAATATTGCTCTTTACCTGCAATCCAAGCTAAAGCAATGAACTACTATAAAGTATAAGAGTAGCTGAGCATTCTGCTGTTCTACAAATTACTATTCCGGGACTGGGTCATGTCTAAAATGAATTGGAATGTTTGTAGCCATCGGACATAAGAGACGGCACGGTTGCCGCGGTGGATAGGCAACTAGCTGCCGCGCCACGTGTCGCGGATTCGATTCCCGCACGGAACAACTCTTTGTGTGATCCACAGATTGTTATTCCGGGTCTGGGTGTGATGTGTATGTGAAATTGTATATTTGTAAACGCACCCACGACACAGGAGAAAATCATAATGGGGGGCAACGTATTACTTAAAAAAAAATAGAAAATCCCAGAGCAGGCCACATTCAAAATAAGACAAAACAAACATAGGAATCATATATCAACTCGCTTTATATAATGTTAAACACAATCAATAGGTGCGTGTAAATGCCTTACACCCTATCCGAAAATACAAAAAAAAAGTCAGTAATTATATAACACACCCTACCCATAAACAGCCCCCGTAAAAAAACAAAAGCAGTCACTTTAGCAACCAAAATTTAAATCAACCAATCAATAAAAAAAACTAACCAATTAAACTGCAAAGCATCGTTCAAACAAATAAAATAAATTCTAGGCATCGATCACTAATAAAGAACTAGTGATCGATGATTCTAGGTAACAAATTAGCTTCCAGTATTATATAAAAACAAGCGCTCAAATTGTGCATCCACGTGAGACGCGAATAGCTACAATTAATCTATCAATTAGTTTAAACCAATCGGGTAGCAAACACTGAAAAAAGTATTTAAATAACAACTTCTGTTTATTTTTATCAATGTATTTTTTTAATTATGCCTAATTAAACCAGCTTTTCAATACAATAAAATACTTTTGCAGTAGAAGGCCTCTTTTTCGTCAGGGGAAAATCATCTAATGACTGCTCCCGCCTAGGGTAAGGCGAGAGGGAGTGTCAGACTCTTACTGACTAAAAACCCTCCGTTCCTTCTCCTGCTCTGGGCCGAGGTCGCGGTGCCTCATTGCGCTTACCCCGCAACCCCGGCTGAAAGCAGAAAGCCTGGAGTAGGAGAAGGAACGGGGGGATTTTGAGTCAGTAATAGACTGGAATTTCTTCTCGCCCCACCCTGGGCGAGAGCAATCGTTTGATGATTTTATCCATCAATAGCACAAAAAAAAGAAATAATAATGAGGTATTTTATACGAATGCATTTTTTTTTTTTTTTGCTAACTTTTGGGATAAGATTTTTTTGTTCTTGACGTTGACGTAATTTTTTGCCGTCAAATAATAAAATATTTCACAATACAAAGTCTCGCAAAAAAATTATTTGAAACTAGCGATTATGACAATTTGAATTTAAGTAATATACTAGCGTGCAACGTGTCGCGGGTTCGATTCCCGCACGGAACAACTCTTTGTGTGAACTACAAATTGTTGTTCCAGGTCTGGGTGTCAATTGTGGGTATGTGAAATTGTATGTTTGTAACCGCACCCACGACACAGGAGAAAATCCTAATGTGGGGCAACGTTTTTTTTAAAAAAAATATTTAATTTGCTTAGTTGTTTTTTCAAATATCCAGTTGAATGAACAAATGAACAATGAAACATACAGTAATTTATTACAATTAATCTACATACATGCACTTATAAACATATCGTCAATCGGTCCGTCACACACGTTGCACTAATTTCAAGATGTATACCCGTATCGAGAAGAACACGCCACAAACTCCATTTTTACTGTTTAAAATAATATTGAGCAAGATAAGTGAAAAAAATCCATTTAAAACAGTGGCTACATGATATGTGAATCAGTCCACTCTAATAATACTATTACATATATAATATCAAATAGTACATAAATCATAGTAAATCCACCTTCACCACCAAAAATCCAATCCCTCTTAAACACATAACAGGAAAAAGATCGAAATAAATACTTTTTGGTACCAAAAAAATAAGATCTTTATCACAAATAAAAGATAAGTACGCACTTAATTATTTTTACGAGAAAGTTGATCCACAGTTCCACATGACGACACGCTCCATACCATTAAACATACAACGTACGAAGTTTCCAGATTAAACATGGATTCTGGAATTATAGATGTGTGACTATAGGCTAATCCCTAATTATAATCTGGATCTTGAGGACTAATGAGGACTTACGGCGTTCGGCCACTCTCAAAAGTTCGCGCTCTCGGAAGATCATTAAATTGAAGCGACAGGGAGTGTCAGACTCTTACTGACTAAAATCCCCTCGTTTCTTCTCTTGCCTTTACAACTATGATCACCCAATCCATCGGAACTTCTGATCAGTGCTTTTTCAATAGGTACTAATATTATAAAGAGGTAAAATTTGTAAGTTTGTATGTATGGGGTAATCTTTGGTCCCGCTGGTTGGATTGCCAAAACTCTTTCACTGATGACACAATGTTCCTTAGTGAGGCTATATAACATAACATCACACTACGATCACATGAGCTAGCTACAATTCTCCCAAAGAGAATAAATACATATTGGTTATATCGTCATTGAATTCTCCTGAGTGCTATAGGCTATAAAACATCACGCTACAACTAAATGGAGCCGAGCAGCGGGTGAAACCGCGCGAGAATAGCTAGTATCATAATAAGCAGGAAAAAATATTAAGATCCAAACTGGTTACAGCACTTTAAGTGTCTTGAAACAGTTTTGAGCCATGGGTAACATCACTCAGACAGTAAAATACAACGCAAGCGTGGTTTCACGCCGGTGTTCTGTGGTATCACTCCAATCGACCCAAAACATAACGCCCCCACTGGTAGATCCCTTTCTAAAAAACCTGTTTCCTTTTTCAAAGCATTAAACTCATTATTACTTAACTTACTAAAACTGTCACAGTAAAAATCGATTTGTATTCAAATTTGATTTTGATTAAACAAAAATAATCGTAATTGGTTTTACCTAACGTAATTTCAGAAGCGGTATCGAAAAAGTATCGATAATTATTTTTCGTTCAGTTATCCTTAATTATTAAAAACGAAAAAGTATAAAATGGCTGCCTGATTTAAATTATTGGTAACGAAATTATGAATCATGATGTTATGTGGGGTTCTGCTGACGTCTACATAAAAGGTAACATTATAAAAAAAAAGATATACAAAGACCTTTTCTCTATGCTCTATCAATGGTTAATTTTTCTACCAAATATGGTATTCAATTGGTATATCACTAACCACTAACAATAAGGTTCGAATCAATAAAATTGAAGATATCATAGACAAGATAGAATAGTCATACTTTTTAATTTAATGGAGAAATTGTTATGACGTCATGGTGGCAATGATTAACCTTTGCGACTTTTTTTATTAAATAACTAAAATTATAATGAATTTCTCCACTAGGCTAAGCAAAATCACTTAATATTAACAAAACGTTAATAGATATAACCACTGCGTTGTGTTTCGCCGTGTGAGTGAGGTTACCGGAGGCCCAATCCTTCCCCTTCCCCAATCCCTCCTCAATCCCTAAATCTCCAAATCCCTTATCCCTAAAAGGTCGGCAACGCACTCGTAACTCCTCCGTTGCGAGTGTCCATGGGCGGCGCTGATTGCTTACCATCAGGTAATCCGTCTGCTCGTTTGCCGACCTATTACATAATAAAAAAAAAGATATTCCACTTTACTGAAAAAATATAAGATTGAAAATCTACCAAGCAATGTTAAGGCCATTGGGATTGTTGAATGTGATTATACTTGCATCTAAATTGATAAATCTCAACTTTCTTTGTTAGAATGACATTATTTATGTAGTGGTTTTTAGTGTTGGAGATCCATGGATTGGCACGAATGAGTCTACCATCCGCACTGCTTACGACACACAACTATATTATTAGATTTCTGAGCTCGAGTTTAATCCTAAACCCACGGAGACAACGAGACAGTCAAAAAAGTAATGATGTAGGGTATGCAGGGCCTAGGGTCAAAAGTGCAATAGCACTCTACCAATGCGAAAATATGTAAAACTTCTTAATAATACAAGTTCAAGAATCAAAAAATTAATTATTTTGTAAATAGATTACTACTGCTACAAATTAATCAGTCAAGGAACCTCTGACCCTCAACTATAAATTTCAGACACTTTAGCATTGGTAAAGTGCAATTGTACTTTCGACCTTCACTAAACAATTAATTATTTATGATGAAGATTATTACAATGGATGTGCCAGAAGCACTGCTCTATGATAAACCTGGGCCAAGTCAAAGTCAATTTCAACTAATCCAATATAGACATGTTTCATATAACAACTCAGTTCAGTCTGACGATCAGCTACGTCAGTTTAATGTTGCTATTTGCTCGTTCCAGCTTGTCCTATACAGAAGATCGAGTAAGAAACTCCATAGTGTAACTAAGGAGGTTCTTTTTCAAACCAATTAAAAAAAACCAACCCGCTTACCACGTATCGGGAATGCAATAAACTTTTATTATAATTGGGTAGTTTCCTAGGTCAAAAATAAATTAATTCGATGTTTCAATACAATAAAATATTGAAAAATAACTATACTTTTATTCATCGATCGATCGATACACCAAGTTATAGATTTTTTTTAGCTAATTATTGTGAAATAAGTAAGCTATTTGACGCAAAAATGTTATGACGTCATAGCTCAGTTTTCATACAAATTTCATAGAAAAGTATCGTTTTTGGCGTTTGGATAAAAGTATTGAATTAGACTAGTTGGAAACTACCATATTATAGAGGAGGCCTATACATCAGTACTGTTATTCTTAACATTTTTTTGTTCGACAAGGAGTTTCTGACTCTTACTGACTAAAACCACCCCGTATCTTCTCCTGCTCCAAGCTGATACTCTGACTGACTATTAATGTAATGTGAAACTACAAAGAACAATCCAGCTACTACTTTCATACACCTTACAAAGAAATCAAGCAAACGTTACTTCTGTAAATATTTATCAGCTATAGCCACTTACTTAAAACTAACAATTAACTTCATAAACAAAATCGACCTTATAATTCGACGCGTAAGATTGGCTTTCGTATACGGTTACGATTATTTAGGTACTCTGGTAAATCACGGAGAGTTCGCAACTTTTACTTTTGAGATATGACTTATGGCCAATGTTCCATGCGTTTAGAAAATATGTAAGTTGTTGGACAAAAGAGTACCTATGTTGAGTTTTATTCATAATGATTATTGTTTTTTTTTTTTTACTGAGTTCTTTATTATCTGTGTAGTATTTTAAGACTTTTTCATAATATGCACTTATGTCTATGGATAATATTATTTATAGATAAATTCTACAAAGGGTTTATTCTTAAAAAAGTTTGACTTAAAATCTATTAAAATTGAAATCAAAACCTCGAAATCGAAAAAAGAATTGTTTGTTCATTATTTAAAATCATGATGATAAGGGCTTTATTATGGTCCATACGGTTAAATAAATGAACCTTATTCAAGTAATGATAAAATAACGTAACATTATAGTAATTGAATATAATACCAACACGAAACCTGCAATGTAGGTAGGTAATCAAAATCGCACTAACATAAATTAATTCGATCCTAAATATTAAAACAAAGAAAAAACTTACCATAATAAAAGTCCAAAGAAAGCACCACAATAATCCAAATTGATTATAACAAATAAAATAACTTTGTCAAATTATTTAGAATACACTGCACAACACAGATTATAAATATTCAATTTACGCGCGCAAGAACCGTAGACTTATATTCTTTTTTTTTTTTGTTGGTGCGTGGAATCGCGCCTGCGTGCGGCGTTCGTGCCGGCCAGTGGTCAACTGCCTCCGACGTCGTTTCAACATATGCACATCCACGATTCGCATCTCAAAACAAGTGAAATTTTACTGTTTATTAAATCTTGATTTAATTATCATTTTTTTAAACACAAATGACGTTCTATACGATGTTAATTTCACTCAGATTTCAAGCTTTAGAAAAAGTATTAGACGAATTTAAGATCTGTTCAGAAAAATATGTTCTTTTTACATATTTCTTAAATTGGTTTTTTTTTATATTAAAGTCACATGGAATTCTTTACTTTGTTTTTTTTTTATTGCATACGTAGCTACAGCGTCTAACCAAATCCAATACGCCACCATCCTCATAACTTTCACCTGTCTATTTTGTCAATATTACTCATAGTCATAATTGCCATTAACAAAAAAACTTTCTTCGATGATGTCTCGTCACGTAATAAGTAGAGATGAAGAAACTTCTACAAACAAAGTTACAACCCTAATTGCTAACTCGATTAATCGATAATGATCGATATAACAAAGTTATCGATATGCTTCGAATGTATATGATATGAGAAAGCCGGTTGGAGAGTTCAGTTTGCACTCCAGAGACCACGAAAGTACCTCAGACGCCTACCAATGAATGCAGCGAAACATAATTTATAGTTTACCTGTATTTTGTGTTTCTATTTTATGTTTGGTACTCTTGAATACCTTAGGTATAGAGGTTGCATATGTGATTGCGAGAAATTTTGAATTTCACCTCTGAATTTTGAATTTTTAGTGCACATACTGATCCGGAGAACACAAAAAAAGAACAAGAACTCAAACCTCAAGCTGATACTGAATTCACTGAACAAACTACCTGTCTTAATGATGAAGATTTTTTTTTTGGATTTTCTCCTGTGTTTTGGATCACACAAAGTGTTGTTCCGTACGGGAATCGAACCCGCGACATGTTGCACGGCAGCCACCGCACCAACCGTGCAGTCATATTAGACTTTCTGCCTACCTAGTTGGATATTTTTTTATAAAATTAGTCAACAACTAAAGACGGACCATCGTAAGCTATCGGCGTCCATGGACACTCACAACTTAAAGAAAGTACAAGTGCGTTGCTGACATGGTTAGGGTTAGGGATTAGATCATTTTGGGGATAAGAAGGATTTTGTCATCAGCAACCTCATTCATACAACTACCAGAACGCAAGCCATTAGCCAATTTGATTTATTTATAGGGGTTCTTTCAGAGCCCCCGGTATCACCCCTGTTGATCCGAGCACCAAGCAAATAATCCAGTATTTACTAATCTGTCTAGCTAAAGATATCCACAGTATTTTAGACAAAATCGGTAGCTCATGACTTGACTAATAACTTATAACGATTAAAAAACCACTGTAGCAGAAGACTAGCAATAAACCAAAAATAATTAAGTCTATGTGTATATTTTTATTTACAAACGTAGTGTAGGCCTCCAGCTCGATAGACTGACGATATCCGTAGGGTAGCTGGCAGTGGGTAAATGAGAAGAACTGAAAATCGAGTCCGTGCTATACGTGCAATTGGACACGCCTATGTCGAAATCAGGCTTATGATTTTTTTTTATGTGATAGGTCTTCAAACTAGCATCGCATTACATTCATGGACACTCGCAAGAACAGAGGAGTTACGAGTGCGTTGCCGACCTTTTGGGGGTTAGGGATTTGGGAGATTTAGGGATTGGGAAGGGATTTTGGGAGGGGAAGAAGTGGGCCTCCGGTAATCTCACTTACACGGCGAAACACAACGCTGTGGTTGTTTCACGCCGGTTTTCTGTGAGGCCGTGGTATTACAACTGGCTCTCCTACACTTGATGATGATGATATTGATTATAGATTGGCCAACTAAACATGTCCATAATTTAATTTAAACATGGAGACTGGCTCTACCTCTTATCGTCTAAACGACATCTTTCCACCAGCAAACTTCAAGCTTCAAGTTTAATATACATTACTAGCTACTAGCTGGTTCAAACGAAGTCATGTGCATAATCTGTATGACGGTCCGCGTTATCTCCAGCGTTATCACTTCATCTTGCAGTACGCACGCTTTGCGTTTTGCCTTTCCCGAGTTCAGTGTCCTTTCGATGGTTCTGTGTGTCTATGTTTCATTCTAATGCTAAAGACGAGTTTGGAAGTTTGTTGCTGTATTTTGCGGTTTTATAGGGTTAGTAAAGTGTAGGAGAGCACGAATGAGCCGGCTCGATCGAAGAGATCCACGGCCTTACAAAAAAAGACGGAAAACAACCACAGCGTTGTGTTTTGCCGTGTGGGTTAGATTACCAGACGCCCAATCCTCCCCTTTAATAGAGATAGTGTAGAAAAATCCTAGTATTTTCGCTCATTCTTTCATTCATTCTAGAATATAGCAAATCTTCTCACGCAAAAAAGCCCATTTGACAATAGGCTATCGATATAATTTAATTTTGTACCCAAACTAACAACCTTAGTAAAACAACAAACGACCATATTCAAGCAACAAATTCTGTCTCTCTTTAAGATAGTACTGCAGCCCTAGGCGCTGGCAGTCAGACTCACTCAGATGTCAGACGTCAGACATCAGACGCTCTGACGCCGACAGTCAGAAAGCGCGCCGCTATCTCCGCAAATATCCGTTGCGAGTACCCGCGCACCGTGTCAAGAACATTACCAAGACTATGTACGTTTAGACGAGGCGCGAAGTAATTTTCAGATTAAGCCAGAAATGGTAAAGTGTACGATTCCCTTGTCGAGAAAATCATTGAGCTCATTCCAGATCTGGTAAAGGATATTTTTGGATTTTTTGGTTTTTTAGTCTTTTTTAGTAAGAGCACGGTGTAAATTATGGTAAATTCGAGGGCTGGTTAAAATTAGACATGTCAAAATGACCCTTTTTGAGAATTTAAAGGCGTACACCTCGTTGGTGGAGGTAGGCAAAGAAACACGTCAGATCGGAGGACACGTACCTATTCATTGCTAAGGGAAGCCCTTTTCTCACATAGAAAATGATTAGGCATTAATCACGAAGCTTCCTCAAAACGGATTGGCGATTTCAAACTATACTTTAGGTTTCTTAACGATGTTCCCAGAAAAAAGCAGATAAGTACTTTCCAAATTTCTTGGAAAGCTTGGCCCTAACCTTAGTGATACAGAGAGAGAGTATGGTAGGCGCAATAACAAGAAAACTTCACTCGACTGAAATAAATTCTATAAAATAGGGCAGAAAACAACACAGTATGCACTCACCAAGCGAATGACGCATCTGCACTTCCATACTACTCACTCACAGCACAGTTATTAATTACATAGAACATGTATTTACTAGCCGGCGGTAAATAACAGCCGTTTATATCTATCTACGATTGAAACTAGATCTTTAATTGATACTGCTATTGTTTTCCAATATATGTATCGATTATAACGAAAATATTATGTGAAGTTTTTGCTCTTTGATGGGGGGGTGTTTTTTGACAAGGGGATGAAGTTTTTGTTCATTGAAGAAGGCAGGTTTTTACACAAGGGGTTGATCATATCAAGTTACGGTGTGCAAGAGGAAGTTTCAGACTCTTACTGACTTTAAACCATCCTGTTCCTTTTCCTGTTATATTGTCACACTTTTGCGCTTCCAACCAAAACCCCAGCTGGACATCGGCCCTAATAGGATCTTTTATTAAATCACCCTGGATAAGGAAAGTGAATATCCCTTAATAACTCTTTTAGATATAACCGGGCCGCGTAATATGGCGCGTCTCCAGCGGGACCGATGCCTAAATCGACCCTACAAAAGTAGGCAGGTTTTTCATCATAAACTCCTTTACTCCGAGCGTCAGGAATCGAGAGACAATCTCCTGCCACCATCATCGTGGGTCTGTGGACGGCGAGTAAGGGTAGCTCGCCACCCGACCAGAACCAAACCCGACAAACTAAACGCGTGAAAGAGCCAATAGATCACTATAGACGGGGCCCTACAGGACTGATGT